CTCTAGAACAGGTCCTATTACAAAGTTTAATGGTTTAAGCACCTCGCAGCCACCATGTTTGGCGAAGCCAATTAAAACGAGAAAGATACAAATCGCCGATATAATTCCGTTGAATCGCACACGGTTCTCGATAAACCCGACCTGTACTTTCCAGCGATTTAAATAATCGGTTCCAGTGATTCATCCATGCAGATGCGGCCACGAGCGTTCGACGAACACTTTCGCGTGAAATTATATTTTCGAGCTAAAGTTCTAATTGCATATTCAGAAATATATTCACGTTTTCGAACACTTTTTAATTCCTAGTAGAGAGGACTGGTTCGAAGTCGCTACAGACTTTATTTTCCAAGATGACAACATACCAGTTGCAATTGTAGCACAATAGCGGAAGACTTCTGGCAACAGAACAGTATTAAAACAATGATACAGTCCTGAACTACAAAATAAGAACGAACATCCGGAGAAGAAATGTCAAAAGACAATAAAATAATTTTTTCATGGACATAAATTAATAAAATGTGTATCGATACTTTTAACGTAAAAAAAAAAGTTATTTGATAATAAGAAAAAAAAAAAAAAAAAAATATAATTAATTTTAATACTGTTACGCAAGAATCCCCCCTCCCCCCTTATGTGTCTGATCGAAAACTCGTTGCATTATGGGACCGTACATATCGAGATTTATTACGAAATCCAGCGGGTTTTCGTTAAATTCGAGTACCGACAGTGTGCCTCTATGACCGTGGTTACTTTTCAATGACCTGAAATCTTTCTACCGGAGTAGAAATTGAGCGCGAGTCGATTATTGTTCCAAGTCGAAGCCGTTCTGGGAAGCGTATCGGGCGCGTTTCCATTTGTCTCCTCGGCGCGAATCGGTCAGACGATAGCTTTCACCGGGACCCGTGATTCCCCAGTGACGCAACGCCGAGCGATGAACGGGAAAAGCGACGTTTAACGCGGAGAAAATTGCGTCTCGCGACGGAGAAGAAAGAATATCCAGCGGATCGCTGGAAACCGGCCAACTAGAGCGGAAACGGTGAATGCAAAGGCCGACGGGCAGACGATCGCCGGCAACCTTCCAAAGCCTTTCGATTCCCCGCCGAAAAAAACCAGCAAAATGCCATTTTCGGTAGAAATTTTTTTTTCTTTTGATATACAATCTCGAAAATATACAGGGTGTTCCGACAACCCTCTGAAAAATTTTAATGGGGGATTCTAGAGGCAAAAATAAGACGAAAATCAAGAATATCAATTTATTGATGGAAGCTTCGTTAAAAAGTTATTAACATTTAAAGTTTCACACCTTCATGAATTTTTTTCTAGAAAATGCGCATGATTTCGGGGGTATGTCTATTCACCAAGAATGATTGTAATCGACCCCCGCGACCGAAAATAATTTTTCCAAAACGATTTGAAATTTTTCTTTTTCGTCGAAAAATTCAAGCATCTTCTTGAATTTTTTTCTTGAAAATGGGTAGGAATTCGGGGGTATGTGTAATGACCAAAAATGATTGTAATTGACTCCCACGACCGACTATAATTTTTCCAAAACGGTTTGAAATTTTTTTTTTCGCCGAGAAATTTGTCCACATTCCTGAATTTTTTTCTCGAAAATGCGTAGGAATTCAGGGTTATGTGAAATAACCAAAAGTGATTGTAATTGACTCCCGCAACCGAATATAATTTTTCCAGAACGATTTGTCATTTTTTTTTTCTTTGAAAAATGGCACCTAATTAGATTTTCAGTAAGGAATTTTTTTCTCGAAAGTGCGTAGGATTTCAGGGGTATGTCTATTCACCAAGAATGATTGTAGTCGACCCCCGCGACCGAAAATAATTTTTCCAGAACGATTTGAAATTATTTATTTTATTTTATTTTTGGAATTCTGATATAAGAATTTTCTTCGTGTAAATCATAAATTTTATCTGTTTAAAACAATTAACTGTTGAATCATTTTACGTATGAAATTGACTCAGTCCGTGAATTTAGCGTTAAACATCTTTCTTAAACATAAAGTATCGGAAGATTTTAGCTTTACTGCATTGTAATTCTCAGTACTGTAGATTTGAGAAGTGACTCGTGGTTCATTGTTCGTGGTACGACGGTGCTCCGTCACGTTTTCTCGGTGCAAAAAAAGGTTCCGACCTTCGGTATACTTTTGATCGCGATTTGAAAGTGGGATCCTCGTAGCAGGTAGAAAGAGGACCCTTTCCAGACTGGAACGTCTGTTGTCTCGTTTCGAGCGGGTCCAAAGAGCGCACGCTGAAACGAAGGAAACCGGTTCGCTGTGTTTCGGTCGCTTTTCACAGGGCCAAACTCGAAACGGCCGAGCACGTGTTACGCGACAGAAGGTTCTTTGTTGTCCTGCGCTATCTGGAGCACGGTATTTCCTTTTTTCCCCCCCCGGTAACCTGTATGTTCGACGCACGATACTACAAACCAGGATGTAGTCTCGAGGCGATTAATTTTAAACCACTTTATATCCGCGTTAACAATTCAGTGCCACAGGTACATTCGTAAATAATACTCAGATTCACAATTTTTTTTTCCAGCACTTGTGCAGATTAATGGGGGATTCTGGAGGCCAAAATAAGACGAAAATCAAGAATACCAATTTGTTGATGGAGGCTTCCTTAAAAAGTTATTAACAAATAAATTCAAAAATTTCAAATCGTTCTGGAAAAATTATATTTACTTACAGGGGTTAATTACAATCATTTTTGGTCATTAAGCATACCCTTGAATTCCTACCCACTTTCGAGAAAAAAATTCGAGATGCCTAAATTGTTCGACAAAATTAAAAACTTTCAAATCTTTTTGGAAAAATTATTTCCAGCTGCGGTAGTCGATTACAATCATTTTTGGTGAACAGACCTACCCCTGAAATCCTATCCATTTTCGAGAAAAAAATTCGAGATGCCTAAATTGTTCGACAAAATTAAAAAATTTCAAATCTTTTTGGAAAAATTATTTCCAGCTGCGGTAGTCGATTACAATCATTTTTGGTGAACAGACCTACCCCTGAAATCCTATCCATTTTCGAGAAAAAAATTCGAGATGCCTAAATTGTTCGACAAAATTAAAAAATTTCAAATCTTTTTGGAAAAATTATTTCCGGCTGCGGGGGTCAATTACAATAAATTTTGGTGAATAGACCTACCCTTGAAATCCTACCCACTTTCTAGAAAAAAATTCGAGAAGGTGTGAAACTTTAAACGTTAATAATTTTTTAACGAAGGCTCCATGAACAAATTGGTATTCTTGATTTTCGTCTTATTTTGGCCTCCAGAATACCCCATTAAAATTTTTCCCAGGGTTGACTGAACATCCTGTATAGGCAAATTATGCTCGAACGATCTAACTTTCATTTTTGTTTATTCGTATTTAGTCTAAAGGGCAATCCTACAAAAATTAATTAAACATTATGTTAACTCTACTATGGTCTACTATAACTTGTTCTGTTCGATAAAAAAGTGAGGACACTTCGTTCATCTGAATAAGATTGATATTTCCATATAAAATTTTCAATTTCTCGTCTAAACACCCAAGAAGGCGCACACGAAAATTTGAATAACGATCTGTTCCTCTGCCGTGTTCATTGTTGTGGTTTCCGTCTCTAAGCAACACCGCATTGCTGTACAACCCGTTAGAAACGATGATCGAATGCGTACTGATTCAAAATTGGCTTACTCTCCAAGATACAAATTAACATTGCATAAAATTAATAATTTATTGCCAATAAAAATGAGGTATCTTAAGGAAAAATATCTGGCTTTATCGAGAAACAAATATTCTAAATCCAACCTCTTTTTTTAAAAATCGAATTATTTTTATATATTTAAATTATACTTTTGAATAACTTTACTACGATCAGGAACGATAAAATAACAAATACGTCGATGAATTTTGTTCTCGAAACAGTTCTCAAAGATTATAAATCACAATTATCGACGACGTTTAACGTCCAAGATTCAAACTTGCTACCGCGAGAGATTCGAAACTCGTACAAAAAAGCTAGCCACCTCAGCAGCGCCCTCCTTTGAAAAATAATTGCTTTCGAGGGTCTCCTTTCAAACACCGATAGCATAAAGGATGCAGCTGTTACTCCCAAGTCGATTAACGTGCAAGGTAACCACTCTGCCAATAGAAACGAGTGTTAACGTCAAACATTGTGCACATCGTACGAAACAGCGTTATAATTTCAATTACGAAAATAAAAGTTACACTAAAACATTGGCTCTAGTTTGTCTAAAATTGAAACTAACGATAGAAATATTTTAATATCAAAGAAAGATCATCTTTGCCGATTCTTGTTTTTATACACTATTTTCAGCTCCATTAGTTTAGTAAATTAGCGACCTTATAATCTGTAATGTCACGTTCGATCGATAGACGATGAAATTTTCTATAAAAATAATTTAACCTAAAAATAATCTTCGCGATCCATGGATCGGGAACCAGTGGCCTACCGTGTCCTGTTTATATAATATTATACTGCTAGCTTTGCACGTGGTTTACCGTTTATTTACTCTTCCTTAGCCACCTTCTGCAGTAATTTTGCAATGCTATGTAACTTATATTTTAACTTCAGTTATTTTACAGATCCGTTTCAAGTTTCATCGCGATCTCTCCAGCCGTTTTCCCATGACGCAATAACAAACAAACACGCACGACCAAGTATTATTTACACACCGACGCGAGCAAAATCCAAACGTAAAAACTTATTCTCCGGGTTGAATATTACAAAATGAAAGCTGTACGTTTTTTTAGACACTGTACCCTGTAGCGGTGATTAAAGACCGCGAAACGAGTGTAAACACAATCAACGCACGATTCGAATATCGATTTTTTTTTTCCCCCCTCCAACAGTATCCTTTCGCGAGAACAATACACGCTTGACGTCCGGCACACGAAACATTCTATTCGCGTATTGTACGAACGCGTGCGTTCACGAGCAAGCCGTATCACGAACAAAAAAAAGAAATCGGAAAATCTGTACCTGATGTATTGAATGTACCCGTGTCTGGCATCTTCGAGGAGGAACCCCGGATTCCGCATCGCGACGCTTTCGAAGACCATCAAGTCAACGCATGCCACGGACCAACGATGGCAACAAAACCTCTCTCACGAGTCACTTAAGAACACGAGATTCGATCCGACAACGAATCTAGGCACTGCACACTGGTTCCGCGAGTCACAGCTTCGTCCACGGACGCCGTTTCGTCGAACATATCTTACACCGTTTTCGTAAATCATTCGGCTCGCAAACACGTCACAAGTCCTGGGATCCGCGAACTTTTGTTAGCAAGGAAGAACCGCCGAGATACGCGATCGGGGACTTTCGTTAAAACAACATGATAAATTCGCGACACAGCTTTGTTCGACGACCGGTAGAGGAACGGTGAAACAGACACGCGCGGTCGGGCATTCGCGAGGCAACTGAAGTGCGAAGTGAGGCGCGGAACGGTGGAAGTTCGGTTGCCTCCCCCTCTGCCCTCTGCCGGATCCGTTCGCCCCACCATAAACCATAGCGGCCGACCCTAACCTAACCTACCGGACCGAAATGCGGCTCGGTCGATCGTGGAAAGCGTGGAAGTGTGGAAAACGGAGGGAAGGACGTGTTTTATGGGCATCGCGTACATTTCCGTTCCGTGTCGATTCTGTATCGCGTACATTTGTTCACGCATGCGTGCTCCCGCGTGTGTACCCTTGTCCTTTATCTTCGGCTCGTTTGTTTCTTATCATAATTTAAAAAGGATCGAGATATGCCCAACAGGGAGGGTAGCCTTGCAAAATACTGGATGTCCCTACGAATCTCTACACTCACACACGATAGCATTTCTACGTTCATACATATAAGAATCATATATAACATTTTTCTGTTTTCACTGGAATTATTATCGCTGTTGTTATTATTACTTTACGTATAATTATTAACTTTTAACACGTCGACCGCTTTTTCATATCCAAAGATGCATTCGTTTGTTCAAATTTTAATATAAAAAAAAATGAAATATTTAAAAGTTTAATGGTGTGCTTGTTGTTTTACAGCATTCTTAAAGAATACCAATGCTGTTTAAAAGTTTATAAGCATTAGAATTCATTCGTTTTAAATATTTGGAAGAACAATTATAAATTTGAAGCGCCGATAATTAATGACCACTTTGGAGGTGAATTCCTTCTTTAATGCGAATGTATGAATGTGAATTATATTACTATTTCTGTAACGAATGACAAAAATAATTGTCGATTGGCCCAAACCTTCTACCTTATTAATTGGTACCAGAAAGGTTAAAACGTTATGATCTATACAGCAAGATGTAAGTCTCAAGATTATATCAGTGAAATTAGAAAATAATTGCTCGATATATGGAACAGTATTATAATGTACTGTGGATCACAAAAGTATTTGAAAGTTGAAATTGAAAACTTCAGTACAAAGTTGATCCACATTTTGTTGCTATTACAGCCTTAATATTATTTACCATAAAATGTACTGACTTTGATCGTAAGAAATAAAGACTATTATACTTTAACAATATTCTAATTTAATGTGATAACCATGTGTTTGATGCTCCTTCTACCCCACCCATAAATTCTTGATGAAATTCAAGCAAAATCAGGCAAATTTTATTCACAAACATACTAAAAATTAGAGTCTATTAATGAAAGTTAGTTTACAAGCAGATCTAACAGTTTGTTTGTTATTTGACAATAAAATTTGCCCAACTCTGAATTCGAATTAACCTTGTGGCGATTGTTGTATGTATAACCCTATTCTTTGACAACTTTTGTAATACACTTTGCGTAATCGTGCAATTGAAAACACTACTTACTTCGTGGATCCAACTTTCGCACATTGTCTTTTGTATTTTCTTGTAGAATGTTTAAATATTTCATTTTAACTACGATTTCATCACCAAACACAAAATTCTAATTCCGTTAACAGTCGTGCAGTCCCCACACCATCACCGATCCACCATTGTTATTTTATCAACGTTAAACATTCCGCGCATCTAGTTCGCGCACCACGTGGCGCCTGTTTCTTATCTGATGGCGCTGCTGTTCCTACAACGTAAAGCGCGAAAAACAAATACATGGACACTCGCAGTCTTATACTTTTTACACCGTTATCGATGTATTTTTAATTCTAGAAGGTATTTTACAGAACATCTCTGTTTTAAAAACATTTCTTTAAAAGATTTTATTAACCCTTTACAATACAATGATAAGCCTGACCAAGTTTATACCAAGTTCCACAATAAAGAGACTATTATTATAATATTAATATATTAAGATCAACACGTTATCACATTTTCAAGGTATTTGTGAATAGCATTTGCACAAACTTGTATTCGTAAAATCCACCGTTCGGTTCTGTTTTTATTAATTTTATCGTCCATTTGATCGTCAGACCATGCGTCCGCCAAACATTTTTAACAGCCGCTGAACGTAGACAAAGAACAACCCGTCTGATCGTTAACTCGATCACTGATCCACTCACCCGCGCAGCATCGTCTGCTGCGTTTCCCCCTTCTTTTTTTCTCCCCTCGATCAACCCTTTGCTCTTTCTACGCACCGAGCGAGACAATCGATAGTCGTTTATTTTTGCTCGGTTTAGCGGCCTGCGATAAATTTTAATCGTCGTCGACAAAATTATCAGCGATTAGAAAAAAAACGAAAGCATAAACTTTAAAAAAAAAAGGGGACAAGTATTTTGCGTTACGAAATGTTAGAAATGAATTCTGAGATGTGTCGATGAATCATTCGTTGAAACGAAGAAACCACAACCTTTCAACCAAGTGTCCCTTACGATGGAATGGACTGCACGTTATACAGATTGACGTGAAATGGATACTGCGATCCTTGGAAAGTGGTATCAATTGTCTAGGAATCCGGCGATGCTAACACCGATCACGTCAACAAGAAATATACCGTGTTCCTTCGATTTTTATTTTTAAATATAATCTGGTATTAAAACGCTGAAACACATATCGAGGAAATTGATAAACGAGAAAAGATAATGGAAAAGTTAACTGCGTTGCGTTTAGTACCAAGATGTAACAGTCATAATAACAATGATATAATGGAACAACTATAAAGAGATAAAGATGCTCGACGGAGATATTACACGCATAAATTATGCACAAGCCGAACTAGCGAACGAAAGTGAAGACGATGATGTGCATTCTAACATAGAAGCGTTCGAATCATTTGAAAGTGGACTTTGGTAGTTTCAGACGTAAAAAGACTGCCAGTCTACACAGTTACGCGAACAAACTTATATTATTTAACAGTCGCTGGGATATGAAATTTTTAACACTAGATTTAGGGTGTTCGACTACCCATGGAAAAAATTTTAATGGGTGATTCTAGAGGCCAAAATAAGATCAAAATCAAGAATATCAATTTGTTGATGGAGGCTTCGGTAAAAAGTTATTAACAATTAAATTCAAAACTTTCAAATCGTTCTGGAAAAATTATTTTCGATTGCGGGGGTCAATTATAATCATTTTTGGTGAATAGGCATATCCTCGAAATCTTAGGCATTTTCGAGAAAAAAATTCGAGAAGGTGTGAAATTTTACGACGAAAAAAAAAATTTCAAATCGTTTTGGAAAAATTATTTTCCGTTGCGGGGGTCAATTACAATCATTTTTGGTCATTACACATACTCTCGAAATCCTACCCAGTTTCGAGAAAAAAAATCGAGTAGGTGTGAAATTTTTGGACAAAAAAAAATTTTTCAAATCGTTCTAAAAAAATTATGTTTAGATACAGGGGTTAATTACAATCATTTTTGATTATTACACATACCCTCGAAATCCTATCCATTTTCGAGAAAAAAATTCGAGTAGGTACTGAAATTTTTAGACAAAATTAAAAAATGTTGAATCATACTAAAAAAATTGTATTTAGTTACAGGGGTCAATTAAAACCAATTTTGGTCATTAGACATACCCTCGAAATCCTGTTATTCCTATCGAATATCAATTTGTTGGTCGAGGCTTCGTTAAAAAATTAAAAAATTTCAACAAAACAAAAAAAAATCTATAACTCGGAGATCCGGCCCTTTCCTCGTTAGACGTAACAAAGGAGACGTAAGAAAATCCCAGCGAATAAAAACTCGAGAGGGAAACGATTCGCTTATCCGCGAAAGATTCTTCTATCTTCGTGGGTGATCGTTATTACCGTATAGCATTCCCGATGGTTCGTTTAAATATCAACAATTTCTCTGGCATATCGTCGACAGGAAACGCGCGCGACCTTTCGAACCTGCCGGCGAGAAAAATCCGCATCCACGATAGAAACATAAATCGCGAGGGTTTTGTGCGTCTCATTACCGAGCCCATCGACAAGTGGGCGATAAACAGAGAGTACAGCGGAGACTCAGCAGCAGCTGCAGCTACACGAGTTGAAGGTGAATGACCCCTAAAGAGAGCTACAAACTAAAAAATCAATGAACACACAGTCGCGAACGTGGTTATCAACAGTTTACGTGAAACTGAAAACTCCGCAACGCGTCCTCCGTTTTACAGAAATCTTTATACGCGTCATGGCGCGAAAACAATTCTGAGATTCTTCGAATTTACCCGCTTCGGTAAAAATAGGTACACAGGGTGTTCAGCCAACCTCGGGAAAAATTTTAACGGGCGATTCCAAAGGCAAAAACAAGACGAAAATCAAGAATACCAATTTGTTGATGGAGGCTTTGTTAAAAAGTTATTAACGTTTCAAGTTCAGCCAGTATTGAATTTTTTTCTCGAAAATGGGTAGGATTTCGGGGGTATGTCTATTCACCAAAAATGATGGCGATTAACACCCGGAACCCTAAATAATTTTTCCAGAACGATTTGAAATCTTTTTTTGTCCGTCGAAAAATTTCACACATTCTCGAATTTTTTTCTAGAAAGTGGGTAGGATTTCAGGGGTATGTCTAATGACCAAAAATGATTGTAATTGCCCCTTAGAACCGAAAATAATTTTTCCACAACGATTTGAAATTTTTGAATTTAATTGTTAATAACTTTTTAAGGAAGCCTCCATTTACAAATTGGTATTCTTGATTTTCGTATTATTTTGGCATCTAGAATCGCCCATTAAAATTTTTCCCAGGGGTGGGCAACACACTCTGTATAGTCGAACAAGATAGTTGATAAAAAAACATGTCGGTTGGTATAATATCCAGCGTGTATGGGCCGCTTAATGGTAACCGTTTCGGTGGTTGTGCGTGCAGTATGGTTAATTAAAACAGATTAAGACAAATCTACGCGTACGTCGTGTTTGATTGTGGTGGTAGTTAAATGGACGAGGGGGTCGTTCGATATATTATCGTCCATTAGCACTAATTTTCAATTCCGATGCTACGGGAGAAATCTTGGAGGATCGGGAATCGTTGGTGTGTCTCCTTATTCATTC